TAGACTTCGAATCCTTCGCAGGACGAGGTCAAATGCTGGACGGACGAGTGCCAGGAGCCTCTCAGGTAGAATAGAATCCATTTGAAAACGGCCTCTAAAGAGAGAGGCGTACGGTTCAGGTCTGCGGGCGTTCTTGCACTGTCAGGCAAAGGCATTCAGCTGTGTCCGATAGGCGCCCTGGCGCCCGCAAAATCTGGCCGCTGCCTCAGCGCCAAGCCTTAAGGCCTTATTGCATCCGATAGCCAACCTTGCCCTGGCAACCAGAATACCTGGCTGCGTATGCCAGCAACTTGACATCAAGCCGCTTTGACCAAAAAAGAGCAGACCCTGAGCGACAGGACGCTCGCTACCAACGCGTGCAATGTCATGCTTACATGTACCCTGCCACGTGCAAACCCACTCTGAAGGGGGGGTGATGAGGCCGCGGCCCAGCTGGCTTGCATATGCCGGGTTGCCACTGAAGGGGGGGTCAACGCACCTCCGCTCCAGGCGCCCGGCCCTGGAAGCAGTGCTACTTTCGCAATCCCGGTAAAAAGAACTGCGGCCGCTTCGGACTTGCATTGTTCTTTTGGGTGGTCTTGTTTGGGTTCAAGCTAGTAGCAGTGCAGGGTGTTCTTTTCTGGTGTTTAGGGCTTGCTCCTGGCCTTGACCCAAACTTGCTGTTTCATTTGAAACCCTTCCACCCATGCACTGCCAAATGCAAGGCTTGGACCGCTCATGGTCTCCGAACTACAGGGTGCCCTTTCCACGACCCCGGTCTGCTGGTTCGGCGTGGGCACGCAGGTCACGCCATGCACGCACTGCATGCATTTGCAAGGACACGCATTGTCTTGCCTTGTAGTTTCACGGGGGGTCGACGCACCTTCTGCTCCAGGCATCCGTGCCCTGGAAGCAGTGCTACTTTCAGCAATCCCGGTAAAAAGAACTGCGGCCGCTTCGGACTTGCATTGTTCTTTTGGGGGTCTTGTTTGGGTTTAAGCTGGGAGCAGTGCAACATGCGTAAACGGGTCATGTTGGGCTGCTCTCCGCAGGAGATATTTGCTAGTCTCACTCAGCGCGGTGTCACCCTGCCATGCTGCTTTTGTTGTATTTCACCCAGATGGTCCCCATTATTCCTCATTGAAATTGACAGTGATGAATCCGTGGTGGTGCATGTGCCAGTTACAACTCCAATGGCGGAGGGCACACGTTGGTTGATTTCAGTAGATCTTGCATCTACATTTCAAGGACCCGCTTTGTGACTCAATGATCCGGCAGTAAGTGAATGGCGGCGAAGGATCCATTCCAAGCATGGAATTGCTGTAGCTGACAATATAGACGTCATGGCAGAGAAAAGCGCTGTAGTAGCAGGTGCTGCCAATAATATTCGACCAAAGTGCCCCTTGTCATTGCCAGAGCCAAACCGGGCAAAGAACCTTGGCTTCACCAGGGGAATGGTGGCGACAAAACTAAAGCCCCCAATGATGCAGTCGAAATCCGTGCAGGCCGACGCACTGACGAAGATGTGATGTGCTTGCGCACCTTCGTCCGGCGTGGTCGGGTGCTTCTGCACCGCTAGTGCCATTCCAGTTGAGAGTTCTTATGGAATTATTTCGCTCTTCAATGCACAGGCTACCGCTGTGCATTCTGCTGCTGCTGCGCTTCAGAAACTGCCAATTTTTGTGATTGCAGCAGAGCAGGACCCGATGCTTCGACAGGTTGTCTTGCCTTTTCACATTTCGGGGGGTCAATGCGCCTCCTGTTCCAGGCGCACCAATGCCCTGGAAACAGTGCTACTTTCGCAATCGTAAAAAGAACTGCGGCCGCTTCGGACGTGCTTTGTTCTTGTGGGGTTTCATGTTTGGGTTCAAGCTAGGAGTGCAACATGCCTTAACTACTATGTCAGTGGCCAGCAATGGCCCAGCGATGTTTTTTTTGGGCAAGGTGTTCCGGCCTCGGTCAAAAACATGTTCTTTTGCGCTGTTTTGCATGGTGCGGCTGATATGCGGTACTGGCCGCACGTTTCCCGTACGTGTTCGGCAAGCATTCGGCCGTAGCGATGGCCCGGCGACGGCCCGGCGATGGCCCGGCGATGGCCCAGCGATGGCTTTTTGAATGTTTTTCGCCCGCGTGCGGCGCGCGTCTGGCACGCGTGTGGCACGCATATGGCACGCGCACGCATGTGGCTTATTCGGCACGCGTTTGGCGCACAGCGATGGTCCGGCGATGGCTTTTTGCTTGTTTTGCACTGACGTGCACGCCTCGATACCAGGCCATTATTAAGTCAATATTGAGTCATCGTCCGTCCAGGAAACGACCTCGTCCTGCAAAGGATCCGAAAAGTAAAGTGCTGCAGAGAGCCCCGTGCCTGCGCTATGTCGACCCCTAGATACGCCGAGCGAATTTGCTCCGTAGCTCGCGTTTCTGCAAGGCAGGCTTGCCTTCAAAGGAAACACTTTTTCTTGTAACCTTTTTTCCCGGAACATTTTTCCATTTTTTCCCTGTTTTTTTTTAGCCTGCCTTGCAGAAACGCAGCTACGGGGCAAATTGCAAGCATATCTAGGGGTCGATATAGTGCAGGCACGCGGCTCTCTGCAGCACTTTAGCTTTCGGATCCTTCGCAGGACGAGGTCGTTTCCAGCATCAAAACCCGTTTGGAGAATCCCGTTTAAAGAGAGAGGTTAGGTCGTCCGCAAAGACCGACGTGTTGGTGACGGTACGTTGCAGGGCGGAGACCGTGCCTGAGCTTGTAATGTCGCCACAGACACGCTGCCTGTCGACACGCCGCCGCTGGTAGCAGTGAAGGTGCAGTCCAGGCTCTCGCAGGCCAAAGGCCCCGCAGAAGCCCCCCCCTGTGACTGTCAGCGTGGCGCCGGCGAGGGTTCCGGTGGCTGCGAAGCTCGCCGCAGTGGCCGCGCCAAAGGCAGTCAGCGTCCCGGTGGACGCGTCGCCGACTGTGGCGAAGTTGCCCGCGTTGGCGGTGTTGTTGATCGTCAGGGTGCTGCCGGAGATGCCGGTCAGCGCTCCAGTTGTTTGTGCTGAGTGAAACTATTTCGGGGGCGCCGTATGGTTCAGTTGGTCAAAGCACCGGTCTTCGAAGCTTGTCGCTGACGGCTCGAATCCCGGCGTCGGGGAAAAGAAACCCAGATGTGTCTTGTGGTGTGCACTGATCGAGGATAGCGGACCGGCGTGATGCGGCCTCCAGGGGGATTTTTAAGTGGTGTCAGTTTGTCTTACTGAAGTAGCAGGTAGGGCGCATTTACAGCGTACCGCACAAGGCGACCCCTGCGCAGTCAAGACACCGGACAAAGTCTGGACCCCAAAATAGCAAAAACAAAAGTAGTATTGAACAAACCGTGCCATTATTTGAGGGACGTGTTCCCTCCACCCACCAAAGGTGGACATGCCTTGTTAAACAACCCGGGGTTTATTCATTCGGGGTTAACAGTAAACCTGCCCCAGAGCCTGCGGCAAAACCCTGGCCTCGCCTGCTTCACAGCCACAACTGTGAGCCCGATACCGGCGTGTCTGTCCCGTTTTACAACAGTCTAGATTGACACGATATGGTAGCTCGTTTGTTGAGCCGCGGTGCAGAAGAACTTAGTCGGGTTGTCGAACACCAGGACGCAAGGTGTCTTACATGGCCTTGTTAACTTTGCAAGGCTTCGCCTTGCCAGAAACCACTCTTCACTTTGCATAGAATGTTAGAACAGCTCGATATGGAACGTGTTGCGCAGTTTCGGTAGACTGCTTGCATCTTGGAGGGGGTGCCAAAGGCATGACAAAGCGAATGCAGATACATGCTTAACATGGACAATTTCCCTTCCAGATGAGAACGCCTTAGGTCCCAGCCCCCGTTTATCAATTTGGATATGAATTTAAGAATCTCAGATGTGTGCAATTGCTTGCTGGATCACCATTGCATTTTTTTGCAGGTTCTGATGCGGACAAGGAACGCATTTCGATGTGCAAGTTCCTTTGAGGTTAGAACTGACTAGGAATGGTTGCCCAGCAGCAGAAACTCTCTGTGGGATGGTTACTTGCAGCGGCAGATACTTTCATAAGACAACTTGCAAGCGGTTGTTGAGAAGCTCGAATTTGCGGCAACATGGCATTTCACAGGCCATCAAGGATACAATCGCACCTGCCATGTAATGATACTTCATTGCATTTCCAGTTGATCCGATCGACTTCAAGCATCTTACAGAAAAGTTTAGAATAGTGCATGCACGTTTGATCGAGAAGATCACATTGTTTGATGAGGAGAAATGCTCAGAATATAATGTTTCCATGTAAGTCGAATGGCGCGGCTGGTACAATTTGAGTTTGGCACATGTTACCGCGTACTGATGCAGGCGTTCTTGCATCAGGAAAAGTTCGCACCCTGGACACACCGTTCAAAGATGCGGCGAGGTGGTTTTAAGACAAGGTCACATGCGCGGTGCACCTAGCGCAGTTTCACATTCTTGGCTGTTGGTTGCTCATGACAACCAGGGTAACGTGCACTCGCTTTTGCATGCCTGTAAGATGCCCCATGCGGCCATCTTGATGGAGATAATCAAACATGCTGGGTCCGTCGCGTATCAATCGAGATTTCAACACTTGGGCGCGTAAACAAATTGATGCGGACAACAGCTTTTCCTTCCACACGGAGCGAGTTGGTCAGGTGCAAGTTGGACTGGCGATATGCGCCAAGGATTATGGCGACACATATTTTAACTTGCTGGGCCCCGCCACCTTCGTGATTTAAGCTTGACAAGTCCGGTGAGAAAGGCTCCATTGAGTTTTCAATTCTGGGCTTTCTATTGCACAAGACATGGAATGGAACTTGGTTCGCCAGACTTGCTGCCATTTGATGCTCACTAGATGATGGTCACAGATTGCCAATCCCATTTGCTGCTTTATACCCCTTTGGTTAGCGGATTTGCGTTGGCTATTTGAACCGGGACTAAAAGTTTTCCGGCTTTGCCAGAATTTGGATATGTAAATCTTGGGGTTAGCAAAGGCACATGCTTTGGCCATTTCATTCCGCTGGGGGCTCGCCGCCATGTCGGAATCTTCCACATGGCAGCCCGTGCCTGCATGTGATGCCTTCCGATGCTTGGCAATAAACACCAGGGAGGCCGGAAGGCAAAGTATGTTGCCCTTAGCGGGTCACTGTTGTGCTTGTATGTTGTGGACATGCGAGTTGCCGCTCTTCTGCCTTTACGGGATATTGCGATTGCGAGATCTTTCATTGCGGTTGGAGTGATTAGTTGTTCTCATTGCTGAGCCTCGAGGTTTTTTCATGGCACCGCTTTGAGGATGTCGTTTTGCAAGTCAGCAATAAACATTCCGGCCCTGCCACGTACCAGATGTCCTTGCCAATAATTATTGAACATGTGGCCATTGCCGCATGTACAGTAATAAAGACACCTGGCTCCAGTCTTGTTCTTAGTCCTGGCCTTTGAATTCCTGCTGAAGAGGGACATCCTTGGTGCGTGGAACTCTGCACTAGGATTGCCACTCAGAAAGGGAAGGGCCCAGCCAGTGCCGCAGCAATGGCGAGAGGGAGGGCTTGTGTATTGTCGTGGCAAGCATTCCAACTTTAGCTCAAGTAGTGAATTTTTGATCACTAGAGGGATTTTTTAAGCGATCGCAATAATAGAGCTTGCTTCACAACCACGCAGTTTATGCTCATGAAACGACACTACTCGTTGACAGTGCGCCTGAGCTTGCTTTTTCCAATCAGGAGCATGCGCTCATATCAAGTCGTGGGGGAATCCACCTTGCAATGTTCTTCCAATTGTCGGGCATGCTTCGTTGCATAAACATGTATTATAGCTGCGTGTCATCAGTTCGATTTCCTTGCGCTAGGAAGGCATGCTCATATTTCATTGCGACAGACGGAGAGAACAGGATATCCTTGAGGGATGGACATTTGTGTTTTGGCTTGGTTGCCATTCCCAAGTCGCCAGTCATCCTTTTGGCGGCGAAGAGCCAAGGCTGTGCTGAGCAGGAACTTAGCGTGTCACAGCGCGTGCTTAGCTACCAGAACTTGGAAGCAGATACCGAGAAGGAGAAGGCTTACCCGGTAGGTGTTGTGGTTTTGGGCTGCAGTGAGTCCTGCTTCAATCACTGGACATGATGCTGTAGTGGAATGGTTTGCTTCCATGCCCTAGGTTGAGGCTGCCTAGTACGCAATGCAGTGTTTTGGAAGCCAGCTCATTCTCCCACAGCTAGCTTTGCTTGATTTTGAATCTTCGAGTTTGGTCAGCCGGAGTGTTTCGACAGAGGCTCAGCCAGACATTGTCCTAGTGCAAGCTTGGTATAGAATGATTGCAGAATGGCTACTTGCGCCCGTGAGGGGCAATAGCAACGGGCATTTCTTCTTGTGTGCAGGAGATGGAGGAGGCGACCTTGCCGTCCCGGTGTCTGTTGCCGGCCGGGGTGGCTGTCCTCGCCCTGCTGGCCGTGCTGGTGGTCACGCGCCAGAACCCTTTGGCCCCCGCGCGCTCAGAAGGGATGGAGGCGTCGGCGCTGTCGTCACTGGGATGCAGTGGGGACTCCTGGACATGGAGCGCCACCCAGAAGGAAGGGATGCGGATGGGGGGGGGAGCGGTTTGGGCCAGACCTGCGATGTTCTTTTCAGGGCTGCATTTGTTGCTTGCCAGCATGCATCACCAAAGGACAACCAGAAATTAGAAAGGTGACAGCACCACGCCCTGGTTTTTGCTACTCTCAACCCCACGTTTTTGTCAGGGTTTCCTCCCGTGAAGGGTGCGGGCGAACTTTCAAAAAGACGGCTTCAGTCTCACTACTGTAGTAAAGAAACGTCCATATCACAGCTCAAGGGCTGGTCTTCTTCTGTAGTGCACAGCAAGGCGCAACCAAAACAGCGGAGTATACTTGCATCAGGCTCTCTCTCTCTCTGTTTTTTCCTCTTTCTCGTAGCTCTCTCTCTCTCCCTCTCTTTCTCTCTTTTTTTGTCTTTCTCCTAGCTCTCTCTCTCTCTCTCTCTCTCTCTCTCTCTCTCTTTCTCTCTTTCTCTCTTTTTCCTCTTTCTCCTAGCTCTCTCTCTCTCTCTCTCTCTCTCTCTCTCTCTCTCTCTCTTTATCCTGTGCTTTGTCTCTGTCCTTGTTTCCGTCTCTGTCTCGTCCCTGTCAGTGTTTTTCTGTATCACTCACTCTCAGTCACTCACTCACCCAGGACCCACCCACCCACCCACCCACCCACCCAGCCACCCACCCACCCACCCACCCACCCACCCCCTCCCTCCCTCCCTCCCTCCCTCCCCCCTCCCTCCCTCCCTCCCTCCCTCCCTCCCTCCCTCCCTCCCTCCCTCCCTCCCTCGCTCGCTCGCTCGCTCGCTCGCTCGCCCGCGCGCCCGCGCGCCCGCGCGCCCGCCCGCCCGCCCACGCACTCACGCACTCACGCACTCACTCACGCACGCACGCACGCATGCACGCACGCACTCACGCACTCACGCACTCACGCACTCACGCACTCACGCACTCACGCACTCTCGCACTCACGCACGCACTCACTCACTCACTCACGCACTCACGCACTCACGCACTCACGCACTCACGCACTCGCTCGCTCACTCACTGACGCATGCACGCACGCACGAAGGCACGCACCCACCCACCCACCCACCCACCCACCCACCCACCCACCCATCCACCCACCCACCCACCCACCCACCCACCCACCCACCCACCCACCCACCCACCCACCCACCCACCCACCCACCCACCCACCCACCCACCCACCCACCCACC